CAAAGAGGGTAATTTGTATTAAATGTTTATCCAAGTCCTTTTTATTTGAGCTATTAGTCTTATTAAATTGGTGAAATCTTAAGAAAAAAGGATAATTTGTCACTGTATCTTAAAAGCCTTATAATTTTGCATCACCTTTGATTTAGTTAATGTACTTCCAGACATATTTCTAAATAAGTAAATATTGGTGATCACCACATTTTAGCTACAAGGAAATTGATGGGCCTGGTTTATAATAATGAACATTTACAAATATTCTATGTTAAACAATAAAAGAATGAGTGAATTATAGTTTATCCATTAAAAATGTGTCCTGTTTAGGTTAAGGAGTTGCTAGGGAATAACTATCAAAAAAGGAGCTAAATTATTTGGGTTTTCAACGGTGGGTGTGTCTTAAGATTTTTAGTGGAGCACAGTGTAGCCAACAACTCAATTTCAGAGAACAGTGTAAGTCAACTTCTGGGATATGAAAACACTGAAAGCATGCAAGGAATGAGAAATTATCAGACATATGTCTAGAGCACAGGAGATTGCTAAGACATCAAGGTAGATCAGGCTGGAAAGCCAGATGGGGATATTAGTTATGAAGAATTTGTGTATCATACTAAGGAATTTGGCTTTTATTCTTTGGGTCATGGAAAGCTGAAGACTTAATGAGATATTAAACTAATGTAACATGAATTATGAGTCATGGAAATAATGATGTTTTAAATCCATACAGATGAAAGTAGTTATAGGCTAGAACAAAGGCAGAGATCCTGGTTACGAAAGGGCGAAGAGGTAGGGACATTTTTCCATAGAAATGTTGGGATTTGGTGACTAATCAGACTTCAGAAGTAAGTTTCTATGTTAGGTTTCAATTTTGGATGACTGTGTGAAAGGGAAGGAAATGAATTCAGTCTGGAAACAGATGGGTTTGAGATGTCTGCAGACATTAACAATAAGTAACTGGTTATAGATTTCTAGAGCTCAGGAAAGAGGTTGGGGCTGTACATGTAAATCTGAGCCATTAATGTAAGGGACATGGAAGTGCTTTCAGGAATCTATGTCATCTCTCAGAAGTACAGAGAAGACAATCTCATAACTTCTATACTTTATTTCAGTAAATTGTAAGTTCTGTCTTTCGATTGTAAAAGTTTATGTTCAAGTTATTCAAATTCTTCTTATTCTTTTCAAAGTGTTCATCATCATCATGAAGTTTCTTGATAATGAAAAGAAATCATTGCAAGAATAGATATAAATGGAGTGCTGAATTTTCTTATTCTTTGAGCAAGACAGTTTTTATTTATAAGGATTTTAAAAGAGCACTTCAAAATGGTCGTGTTGAACTTAACAACACTTCTCCAGTTGTTAGTTTTTGCAGTATTCCTGCTACAAAAACTTTCAGTGACTCCATTTAGATTTTACTGGAAATCCGAGTTAAGAAAATTATTTCTAACAACAACTGAAAAGCAAGTTTCTTCCTGATGTTCCCAAGGCCTTAAAAAACCCGCAAACTATCAAAACTCCTGTGCAAGGAGAGATGGTTAAGGTATAATTGTCAAGAACCAAAAATACCTTTTTAAAGAAATATAACTAACTTAAAAATGGATTTTAACATTTGTTGTGATATTTTGTGTAAAAGCAAGAGAGAAAAGCTTGAGTAACTTGTATGGGTTGGGGGCTACTTATAAAACATTCAAAACTAAACAGCCATAAAAATAATGCCGCTTCCATGGTAACATAAAAGAACAGCAATAAAACCAGGAAGGGTAATTCTGAGAATACAATTCTAAAATCTGTTTTTATTAAAGTGAGAAAGACAAAAATTTAAACAGGTTCCTAGTATTAATTATCTTAGAAATATTGAATTCCATCAGAGCAGAATTCATAATAATTGAGTTTTTTGTGATGGCTAAAATTTTCCATAATATATATTTGTTAGAGTTACAGAACGCTGTTCATTGTTTTGAGATCAACAACAACAAATGAAGTGTTGTGCTTTTATCTTGCTTTTAACCACTTGTTCATTAGTCACTAAATTAACATTTTTTAACTTTAGGAATAAAAAAGAAAAATAATTAACAACATCAATGGAAATAATAAGTAAAGGGACTAATTAGTGGCAATGGACCAATACATATTGTGTGTCTACTGTCTGTCATGTTTAGTGCTAATTTTTTAATGAATTTTTCTAGTCTTAGAAAAAATTTGAGTGAAATCTTTTATTCATTTTATGGACAATCAATATCAAAACTCAAAAATATTACATAGCTTGCCATATGTTACCCAATTAATCAGATTGGAGTAATGCAACACAACAATGTTCTTCTAGTCTCAACTGTTTAAAATTCTCCATTCTTATTTAATTGTGAAGGTAATACATATACTGCATGCAGAAAAATGTGGGGTGAAAAGGAAAATTTCTTTTCCAATTCAGTCTTCTTTCCAGATATTCACTCTCCAAATACAATCTACATTCCAGATACATTTTTATAGATTTGTAATAGATCACATAGCATCCATATAAATATATAGATACCATATACAGAAAAATGTTCATATATTTTTCATAAATGGAATTATTGGAAATAAGTTGTTGGGATTGTTTTTCTCTTTTAAATTTCTAATGACATTCATGCAGACCTCCCTCAGTCTCTTTGACGGTACAACTTTCTATACTATGTGCCAACCATACTTTGTTTAGCCACTCTTCTCTTGGTAAATACTGAATTGTTTCCATTGTTTGTGTTATAAGAAAAAGGGCTCCAAAACCATTCATGTATATATATATTTGTGCAATTAAGCATTTATATAGATGGGAAAATAATGATTTTAATTTCTAGCTTGTCATTAAATTGATCATGAAGAGCACATTACAATAAATGTAGGAATAGATTTTATGCTTATTTGTTCACTTTCTTTATGAACCCCTGAGGTGTTTTTATATACTTTTGGTTACTTTGAAAATAACAGCCAATGATTTCTTGGCAATGTCTACAAAGTTCTAAGATACAAATCTACTGTTCTGACCATACAGTCTTTCATCTATTTGCTTGCTTGTATTCGTCAGATGCCTACCATATCCCAAAACTGTAGCATGTGCTGGATAAACAGAAGTAAGATATAGGACTGTCAACAAGAAGTTTGTAGTAGTATAGGATAGCTTATTTCAGGGTATTTAAAAACATGTAGATGAATAAAGTAATTTTTAACATGACACTGTAATGACTCCATGTAGAGAATTCATCTGGGGTACCTTTCTCGTTTTCATCAAAAATAGAATCAGAGATTTTCATAAGTAGTGTTTCTTTTTTTAAATTCTGTATGACATCATGGAGCAGATGATTAGCTGATTTTTTTTTTTTGCCATAAATTGTGGAAACAGATTATGACTGGCACTTCTAAATGTGCCCCCAATATCTTGGTAAATGAACCATGAAGCAGCTACTTGTCAGGTAAGGTTAAATATTCAGTGTTTTGCTGTACTGGGGATGTCCAAGTAACACACTTGTAGCCAAAGAGAGATACACTAAGATGTGCTGAGCCTCTACAAACACTTTTGCTTATCCTAAAAGAACAGATATGGCTGTTAACAGTTCTTCCCTAACCCCAGATGTTCCTGCCTTGAATATAGACATGACCTATGAAATTTCAGCAGCCCTCTTCTGACCAGCTGATGATAAAAGTTAACTCTTAAACACTAGATAATGGAAAGATACAAAGTTTTTGGTTTCCTTATGAAATCACTGAGGTCCCAAACAAATGTTAGAATTCTTATTATGTAAGAAAATTAAACCCTTACACATTTAGTCCTCTTATAGTTATGCATTTTGTTGTTTCTAGCTGAATTCATCAGAACTCCATTGGTGTTTGGCAGTAGAGGCCTCTCACATTCATTATGAATCAATGAAACAATAAATTTGATCATTTCTGAAAGCTTTGTCATTATTCTGCCTATGTTGTTTCTATCCTCTTCCAATAAGGTCAATTTCCCATGCAGTAATTTAGAAATTTGGTTTAAATATTTTCTTGCTTAAATTGACAGTTTGGAACACTAATTAGGACTTTTAAAATTAAGAATTTTAAGGGCAGAAACTTCCTTTTAATGTTCTCCATTGACTAACACAAGCCCTGTTTGAAGTATGGTACCAGAACACATTGGAGTTCATTTTCTTCTTGTTTTACAGTACAAGAATCAACAAGTATTTTTGTACGAAATCTTGACACATTTAGGTGCATCACACATACGGCTGTAATTGTGCTAAACAGGATAACTTCTGCAACCTCAGTTCACTCTAACTCAGAAATTCTACCTCTGGATAAAGAGTTTGTGGTTCTCCTAAACTGCTGTAGACAACTTGTTTACAGAGGATCAGCTACCTCAAACTTTGCTTTGTTGGTATAGTTCCCCAAAACTTCAAATTCTGCTTCTTCAGGTGGCCATGGCAGCAGAATAGCTCTGTCCTGAAGACTCACAGCCAAATAGCCTCCATGTGGCCCACCTTGCAAAGCCATTTTCCAATGCTTAAGGAGAGCAGAAAAACTCTTGTCATATACAAGAAATGCTGTTCAAGACTTTTAGTCTTCAACACTGAACTATGCACTTAAAGTTTTCATTAAACTTCAAAAACTCTTAAAAATCATGATATACATAAAAATTTGAAAAGAAGTGGAAAATAATAACCATTGGGGGAAAATCACAGATGTTGAGGAATTGTTTTATATATTCAGTTAATAGAATGAAATGTACTCCTCATTTGCTCATATATAATAAAATGTGTCTAAAATATTTGGATATCTTCATTAACTGTAGGTACACTGAAAGTTTTATTTTTATTTACTTCTTCAGCGCTCTTTTAAGATCCTTCAGACAATAGCCAAATTAGTTCTAGATTGGAATGCACATTTATTTACTAAGCTTAGTTTATAGTTATTAACATGTGAGCCATGATCTACACTGATAGTTTCAACAATATTTTTGGTCTAAAATATGAAGCTGCTAAGAAGGAAGATTTTACCTGATTTCCTCCCATACCATGACAGTTGAATATACCCACTTTTTCATTTTCTTTGCGGCCCATGTTGTCTAAACACTGATTGGTTTCAACATTTCTTATCTAAAGGAAACACACAAAAAAGAGGGTAAAACATAAATCAGACAGTTATTTAAGTAATCAAAGCTTTCTGATGTTACTGTCTATTGTTAAGTAATACAACTTTATAAGAAAATTTCTCCAAGAAAAACACATTGCTTTAAATATTTCTCTTGTTCTTTGTCCATTCTTAACCTGCATATACTTCTAAACTCCTCCTGAAGTTTTTGAACATAATTGGCATTAGCATCTAATCAAGAGACATTCCCTGTTTATAGCATAGTATCACAGAAGAAGGAAGCAGCTACATAATATGAATTAGAAATTCTTATCCAAATCCTCTAAAAATTAGGACACAGTTTTCATATTTCACTCAAATAATCATTGTCTATTCTTGAACTCCTACACTACTTTACAGAAGGAAATAAAAACAAACTGGCTAAATGCTGAAATTTATGTTCAGATATTTTCATGACTAAATGTTCCATTCTGTGTATTTATAAAGATTAATTACATTGTTTATATCTGTGACTAAAACATATTCATGCATCTTTTTCATGTCTAATGCCAAACTTATTGGGAAGTGCTTGATCCTAAGGAGAGCTATTACAAGGCTAAACAGTGATTTCACATTACAAATTCCTCAAAAGCAAGATTAAATTGCTGGCTACAGACATAGAGTTCTTGGTTTATATTCAAACACTGCATTAGTCCTATAAATATCATAAAGTTAATACATATTTGCACCAAATGGTAATTAAAAAACCATTAATTGACTTTAAAGATACTAAGATGACTGAATCAAGAATAAAGGCAAAAAATAAAAACTTTCTAATAAATAGGATATTTTAGATTTTTGCTTAGTCTCAACCCCAAGTATGTATTTATGTTTGTCCACTCTGCTCTTGAAAAGTTTGTATCTCTGAGCCATAGACATGCATATTTTACTGTTCACTCAGTAGAATAATTGGACACATCTATTTAGTTATCTATGCTTTGAGCACGTTTCCTCACACTGGCAAATAAATGAGAAACTTATTATATAAACATAGAGAGGATGAATTTGGTTTATACAATTTATACAATTCATTTTTTCTGTGGTGCAGAGCCTCATGGTCAAGTACTAGTGCCTGCTGTTGGGGGAAGTGGTATGACTTGCATTAAGGCCCCCATCAGTAACTGAGAATAGTATAAACCAGAATTCCCACTTGGTAAGTGTTAGAAAAAGCTGGACAGAGTGGTCAAGCCCTCTTTCAATGGGCTGACATTTAGAGCAGTTATACGTGCTTTCAACAAAAATCTGAGCAGCAACCCATCTAAAAGGGACAGAACACATACTGAATATTACAAGGAAAGGGCACAGGCTTCTAGAAACAAAATCTGTACCAGTTCATATAGGGCTGAAATATATTCCCTATTCAATTTCAGTTGGTCCAGGCACTGGAAGGGATTGAAGCTACAGGCAAAAGACTTTTCAGGACCTTCAGCTGGAGAGGATTGAGGAAGGTAACAATTGATAAACTGCAGTATGATATAACAAATAGGTTGGTGTAGGTTGCACATAGTCTGACGAAATTATATAGCATATAAATTGAATTATTTCTGAATCTCTTACATTAGCTTTTCTTAACTGTTTATAAAAGGCAGATTTCTTGAAAATAAGATTATACATTATTGCTATTTAGCTTCTAAAAGAGTATAGAACAGTGTAATGCCATAATACTTAAATAAACATTTCACAAAATGATTCATTTTTAGACATAAGGTATGCAATCTGATTAGAAGAATCTCTGTTAGGTGCATTGTACTTGAATAGACACTAATTAATAATTACAGCCTGAATTGTTTGTAAGGCTTTCTCTCTTTGCTGGAAAACAGAAAATTCAAAGCCATATTCAGCCCAGTACCTACTCTGACAGTGGTATTGGAAGGGGACTTATTGGAGATGCATGCCATCTTACTCTTTGAAAAATTCAGAAAAAAAATTTAAGAATAGCTCCAAAATATTTTGCCTTCAGTAACAACCTATGTTGATATATTTTCCACAAAAGATAAAACATTATGTTTTAGTCTGTAACACCTCTTGTGAATTCATTTCAGAAAGAGTATCAGGAAAATGTATACCTCATACCAGGCACTACTTGAGGTGCTGAGGATACAGAAGTGAACAAAATAAACACAGTCTCTTCTTTCATCAAGCTTATGTTTTGGAAGGGAGGAGAGCAACAAATAGATTTGTAATATGTCAGAAGATCAAGAGGTCCTGTGAAGAACTATAAAGCATTGTAAGGGTAAATAAAGCAAAGGAGATGGTACTATTTTAGAAAGGAAAGGTCAATCTGAAAAAAAGACATTTGAAAAGGCAAGTTAGTGAAGAGGAGAGCAACCATACTTTCATCTTTGGAAGGATATTTCAGGCAGGGGAACAGCAAATGGATGCTCCCCCTAGCTGGACAATACTTAGAGTGAAATAATGGGCTAGCATTGTACTAGCATTGCAGTGAGCAAAGGGCAGGTTAGAGAGGTGTCCCAGACTAAGTAATGTAAGAAATCATGAGATTTTTAGCATAGGCATAGGATAATAGTAACTTATTGTGGCTGTTGTGCAAAGAACAGATTAGAGGGGGAGGAGACTGGAAGCAGAGAAACAAGGAAGGAGGCCACTGCAGTCATGCCAGCAAGAGATGATGGTTGATTAACAGAATAACAATAGGGGTGGAAGGTCTCCCCTTTCAGATATATTTTGAAGGTAGAGTCATTGAAACTTTCAGTTGAATTGAATTATGAGAGAAATAAAGACAACAAAAAACATGCCAAGCTTTGGGCCTGAACAAGTGGGCAAAAACATTTCTATTTACTGGGAACAATAGATTGAGTTCTTGTATGTTGATAGTTGTATCTGTGGCTACTATACTTGAAAATCACTTTGATAGATGTAAAATCCTTGGCTCACAAAACTTGAATACCTTTTAAATGTTACTACATTTACTTCCAGAATAAATAATTCCTTTGAAAACTGATGACAATCTGGGCTTTTTCCCCCCTTAATTCTTATAAGTATCTATTTCTGTGGAAGTGAAACTGATTTTTTTTCTTTTCAGTTTGGGAGATTTACTACAATATATCTTATTCATTATGGATCACTCTCCCAGGGATGTAGTGTTCCTTTTCACAATATCAATATTTCCATTTTATTTTCAGGAAAGTTTCCTAGAATTATTTTATTTTTTGGGACAGACTCTTACTCTGTCGCCCAGGCTGGAATGCAATGGTGCCATCTCAGCTCACTATAACCTCCACTTCCCGGGTTCACACAATTCTTCTGCCTCAGCTTTCTAAGTAGCTGAGATTACAGGTGCTCGCTGTCACACATGGATAATCTTTTGCATTTTTAGTAGAGACGGGGTTTTGCCATGTTGGTCAGGCTGGTCTCAAACTCCTGACATCAGATCATCCACCCGCCTCTTCCTTCCAAAGTGCTGGGATTACAGGTGTGAGGCACTGCACCCAGCCTATAGTTATTAATGTTCATTTTATTTCATTGCTTTTTCTCTTTAGGAAATCCTAATGTTTTTGGTCTTGTGGCTTATATCCTATATGTGTCACTTTCAATTGAATAATTTAGTTTCTAATTTTTATTTTTTTAGTTGCTCCTTTTACTTTTCTAAAATTCTTATGGCATACTCTTATTATTCACTCACGTGTTCTTACAAGTTTAGCCTTCATATCTGAAATGACTTACTCTTTGATTTCTAATCCTTTCCTGCATTCTAGTCCCATATTTCAGTTTTTCTAAATTTGATTTATGTTGTTCCTTTCTATATTTTATCATTTAGAGCATTTATTTTAGCATCTTTTGAACTATTAGGTCACAATTTTCCTCTTTCTTATGAGCATAAAATATTGGTGTGTTTGCAGAGATACCATTCTACTTTTTATTATCTTTTTCTTACATCAGTCATGCTTCTCTAGGTTTTCTTTTCTCCCTTTTTTTCCTTTCTTCCTTCTTTTTTTACATAAAATCAATTTTCCTAGTCTGTTAAGGGGTAAGCATTGATCAAAAAACCATTTCTAATTTCACAAATATAGAACTCCCTTTCCTCTACTTTTTGAAGTGTCAAAAAAAAAAAATACCCTTCTATTTTTTTGAGAACTCCTGACCCCATTTATATCACCCATTTTAATCTGGACCATCCATTTTATTTTCCTCTATCTTTTCCACCCACTCTAGTTTGGTTTTATTCCCTGAAGTGTCTCCTGAGAAGAAGATTCAGCTAGTGAGTTCCAAGAGTTCACAGACTGTAGACTGTTCAGACTCTTCAGATATTAGAGAGGAGCTGTTTTGCTCACCTACAAAGTACTTCTTCCATTTTTAGCTACTGTTATATCATTGGCCTGAAACAATTTCTCATGAGTATCTATGAGAAATTTGGGTGTTATCTTGACCTCATTTCCATCAGATACCTCATTGCTTCCTTCTGTTGTCTCCTATAAAAATTGTAGTATCATGTGGGTCATGACAGTGTTAGCTCGTATTTGAGAATTTGTGAGAACACTTTGCTACCTAATCTTGTTGTCAAAGTTGCTCATTGTTTTTTTTTTTTTTTTTTTTTTTTTTTTTTTTTTTTTTTTTTTTTTTAGCTTTGCTGTTCTAGTTGTTCTTTTCTGTTTTAATGGGAAAATTCAGAGATTCACACACTATGTCATTGCCGCCATCAATTTTTCCAGAATTCCAGAATAGACTTATTTTGGGGACTGCATGAAAAGAAGTTTATCATATTTCTGGCACATTCTAACTACTCCACTTTCAATGTGGTTTTGTAGTTTCTGGATGTGTAATATTACTTGTCCTTTAGAATGTAGCAGGTGCTAAGTGGATACAACATAGGAACTGAAGTCAAGTCTGCCTGGATGTAGAATCTGGGAGAATAGCAAGAGACAGGAGTCAGTGGTTTAGGAAACCTGCCGCAGGGAGAAAAGAGAGACAACCACCACCACCTCCGCTATAATAATAACAACAATTA